CCCACCAGTATAATGCGGGCATACCTTTCAGTTTTTCATTTCATGTCCTAGGCGCCCACCAGTATAATGCGGGCATACATTTCATATTTTTCACTCAGGCACCCACCTGCTTAACGAGAGGAATACTTTTCAGTCTTATACTGTAGATCTTGAAATCAGTAACCCACCGGAATGCAGAAGGTTACAACAGGAATCCCCAGCAGAAAATAATAAAAAAATCCCCAGCACCGGAAAGCAGAAGGTTGCAACAAGAGGTCCCAGCACAAATTCAAGCGCATGAGTCAAAAGGAAGAAAGACGCGTCTTGAAAGAAGCGGCCTATGAACATCAAATTATGCCCAGCATAACAAATCTGATGAAGAAAGCCATATCCCCAGAGGAACCACCGAAAAGCTTAATGAATGAGGCCATATCCCCAGCGGACCGAACAAAATGATGAAAACTAGTATTCAGAAAAGCAAGAGGCCAGTTTCATCCCCAAGTTCTCGGAAGAAAGGCACCAGAAGAAGCACAAGCCGACAAGAAAGCAGGGCAACAAGAACGAGTTAAAGATAGATGAGATTTTATGATCTGTAGTCTAGCCGACAAGCAAGAGGCCAGTTTCATCCCCAAGTTCTTGTTTTCTTTTAATCACGGTGTAACAAGGAGATCGATAAGCAGTGGTAATAGCGTGCAACAACAGTAACATTGCAGTCCCATGGTAGTCCCAGCTACCAAAACTTCCCGAACTACATTAACCTGATTCCCCTTTAGCCAGGGATATGTAGGAAACCTTTGAAGCAAAGGTTCGGTTAAACCTTTTTCAAAAAAAAAATGCTTCACACGGAGTACTCGGATGGGCAAAAATCGCTCGCTTTATCTTTGCACGAAAACCCTTCGTGTCTTCGGGCAAAGAGGGGCAGCTGTAAGCACGTGATTTTTGCCCTATGAAAGAATTACTCCCAAAAATTCAAAATAAAATAATTTTCCTTGTGTGCAATTTTTGTGTTCTTCGTGGCATTTCTGTGTAATTATTTGCATTTTTGTCTTTGCATGTTTATTTGTTAGGTTAATAAAAAATATGTCGCATTGGCGTTTAATATTTAATTAAGTTTGTTTACAAAATGAAAAAATCATAAAAATATTGTACTCTACATTTTTAGCAATTAATGTCCAAATTGGGTGATTTTCTCGTTAGTCGCTATTTAATTGTATGTTAACTGTTATTAAGAGTTAATTAGTATTTCCAGATAATTTTAGGTTTTATAATTTAATCTTAGCATTCTAGCTTTATTATTATTTAANTCAGAACTAAAGAGTAGATAAGAACATACTTTTAATCTTGAAGAAGAGGATTTCTAAAATATCTTAATATTATTTTTCGTATATTCCTGAGTGTGATTTCTGCCTACTGTTTGCTTCCGGGATTTTCAATTGGTTTCTTGAATTAACTGTTGGTCCTTTGTTATTGCTTTATTCGGTGGTTGCTGGAATTTCTGTTCGGTTTTCAAGTCTACTACTGGGTTTTCTGACGGTTGATTGTTTGTTGTTGTCGCGCTGTTGCTACTGCTGCTGATCCTATTCTTCCTTTCTTTGTATTCAAATACCAGGTACACTACTCTGAATCATTTCAACATATGTATTGAAGATGAAATGAAATGGCCGGAAGATTTAAGTTTTTTTTAATTATAGAATATTCGCATTTTTAGTTAAATATTCATTATGTGTCTCATGTTATGTAAATGGTAGAAGTATTTATTATGTGAAATATTAAACTGCGGGACTAGTGGATGGGTGTCAGTATGAACACCATAAGTATTAGTTTCGGCTTTGTTAATTTTTTAGCTTAAAATCGCATTCAAATCGTTAGTAAATATTCAATACGGGAAACCGACTTAATTTGAGGGAAGGTTAGTAAACTCTAGATTTGAATTTGCAAATTTTGAAATAGAAGCAATTTGAGTTTTCTTTCTATCTTTAAATTTTGTTAATAACAAAGGCCCACAAATATTAGGAAAACATAATAGGCCAATAATTTTGTAGAATCTGCAGGCTTACAAATATTTTCGTTTTTTATTATTATTATTTATTTATTTCGTCATTTATTCAGTTTTTTTTTTGAAAAAAAAAAGTTGAAAAAGAAATTTGTAAAAAATAAAAAAAATATTTTTTTTTACAAAATATTTTCATTTTTCCAACAAAAAAAACAGAGTGATGTTTTAATGGGTGATTCAACGTTGCAAGGCTAAGAGCATTAATCCATTAGGTGCGAGTTTGAGCGAGATGAGTCAACATTTAAGTTTAATAAACTTTTTAATAAGCTTTAGTAATTATGGTTAAATCTAGTTTTAAATGGTTTTGAATAACTAATTTCAATAGTTTTTTTTTATAACAATGTAAGCTTTAAGTTAGCTATAATCAGGATCTTTTGATTTTTAATTGTCGAACTTCGTAAATTTTTTACAATTTCGAATTTTTTATATATTTATTTTTAGTAAAATTCCTTTCTATTAATATTTGTCTTAATCTAGCAATTAATATGTTATGTGTTATTATTTTTAAGTTCGTAATTAATTAGGATTTTCTTTCTTTATTTTAGAGACTAATTTTAATAGAAAAATGTAGTCGCTTTAGGGTTTGTCCACTTAAAATAAATGAGATGAGCCTCGCCTAGTAAAATGTATAGATTGTGGGGCCCTCACAAATGTATGCATTAAATACTTAGAACATCGGAGTTGGCCGTCTAGAGAAATTTTACGGCATTTCCCAAAACAACAATACGCTAGTCGTTCTAGGCGTGTCTTTAACAAATCATTTTCTTAAATATGGGTGTGCATTTATGTAACCCAAATCCAAATCTCAACGGAATCTAAATGTGTCGATAACCATGGTGCATTGATTGCGACGTGGTCTGAAATACGTTTTCACAATGTTGCAATTCTCCATAAAATAATAACAATAAATGAATAATAATAAAAGCGGCTAAGGGTTAAAATTTGCACATAAGTTTATAATTGTATAAAATCAGATAATCAAGTCGAATATGACAGTTGGGCGACCGTGCTAGAACCACGGAACTCGGGAATGCCTAACACCTTCTCCCGGGTTAACAGAATTCCTTATCCAGATTTCTGGTGCGCAGACTGTTAAATAGAGTCATTCTTTTCCTCGATTCGGGATTAAATTGGTGACTTGGGACACCCTAAATCTCCCAAGTGGCGACTCTGAAATAAATAAACAAATCTCGTTTCGATTGTCCTTTAATTGGAAAAACTCCATCTGCGCCCCTGCGGGTGCCGGAAAAAGGAGGTGTGACAATTGGTACCAATCCACTTGGTTCCGTTGTTTTCTGCCATTATATTTGGTGTTGGAAGGGGTGTTACCTTAGAACCACAAACCAACCACCTTTCTCAAGTGACATGCCAAAATGAAACCATCATGTTAGCATTAGGGCATTTAACACATTGGTAATCGCACATTTGGGGAATGAATGCACCTAAACAGTTGACAATTTCTATTATGCATTTGTTCGGCTGCTTGCGTCATCCCGGCCTTTTCCCTATTTCTAATTGCAAAATTTCTCTCTTTTCTTTTCTCTTCTTCTTTTTGTTCTTTCTCTTCTCTTTTTTTTTTTATCGTTCCTGCCTTTGCTTTCTTTTGTTCTTATTCTCTCATTCCCTCCTATTTTGTCGTTGTCCCTTTCTTTTGGTTTCTGTTTTCCATCATCTATTTTTCTTTCCTCGCTTGTTTTTTTTCCCTTTCTCAGCTCCTCTCTTTTCTTTTCTTTTTTTTATTCTGACTTCTTTTGCCGTGATTTTCTTGGCTTTCTCATTTTCTCGCTCTTTTGTTTCTTTTCTGTTTTTCTTTCATTTTCTTCCCTCACTCTTTTTGCTTTTTCTCTTAAGGTTATGGTCGAATCCGATGAGGATTGCCTACGTATCGTGACCCCGCACGAATCAGACCGAGCGTAGTTCGTGCAAATAAAAGTTAAACGACAATAAAACATTTTTGGAATTTTCATAATAAAACAAACTGGATTACAAAGGTATTTTTTAAATAAAAAAAAAATGACCCTACTAACAGACTTTGACGAAAAGACGACTTACAGACTTGAAAATCAAACATACTTCATACTTTAATCAAAAGAATTACGAACTCAAAAACCAACGGCCAAATTCCTTTCCCTATTTGTCAATTTTTACCAAATGACTGTTTTGCAAACGTGGCCCCTTCCCAATTTCACATGAATTTTGAGAGAATTATTTTATGACACTTCACAAACTTGTCCATTCTTTTACGAGAATAGCCTTTTGACAACTGAAAGATACTCTAGGGCTATTTCGTCAAGAACGGTTTAAGACGCCGCCGAAACTGGATCGGCTTATTTTGACCAAAATCCAAACGGTATTCACTTGACCAATGACTCTTTCTCTTATTTTTCAAATTAAAATAAAAGACCTGGTTTGCAAACACGGCCTTTCAGTATCCCGGGGACGAAGATTTTAAGGCTGTGTGGGTCAATCGGCTAAAATCTAAAAAGTGACTCAAAAGGTGGCTGTTTATGCAAAGTCAGTCTTCTGGCGTCCCTTTCGGGAATGTTCGGCTGTATTGACAAAAACGGCATCACCCGATTTATTTATGGCACAAAAATAAAAAATTTGACATTTTTTCGCTATTTTTGCAAAGGGGAGGTTGGACCCGATGAGGGTTGCCTACGTATCTCACTCCCTGTGAGAATCAAACCTGCGTAGTTCGGGCCAAGAAACTAACTATATTTTTGAAAACAAGGCTCTTTCTTTTCATTTTCCATGGCAAGACAAACTATTTTTCCTTTTCTATTTTTCGAAAACAAGACAAAATAATGACTCTCCTTTTTCTTTTTCATTTTCAACAAACAATAAACAACCTATATTTCTTTTCCAAACTAAAACAAAGACTCTTTTTCTTTTCTTTTTCAACAAACAACTTTCCAAAAATAAAAGACTCTTTTTTCTATTTTTCCTTTGCTTTTTAGTAAAACAAACTATTAAAAATAAAACATTTTCCTTTTTCCATTTTCTCAAAATTTCGGCAGAGTTTCGACAGTATTTGGTCATTGGTTTTTCTAAAATAATCAATTAACTTCCTAACTGCTATTTCTCTCTTTTTCTCTTTCCTTTTTTTCTCAATTTTCCAACATTCCCGAGATTCAAAAGCCGGTCAACATGCTGGTTCGAAGCAAATATATGTACAGAACAAATAGGATGTATCAGGATGGTCTTTTCTTTTCAGGTTGCTAGCCTTAGACGGACCCAACCCCTGTGTTGAGTCTCCTACTAGGGATCCGGCATGAAGTCAAGTTATTATAGGTTCAAAATCTGGGTATGTGTTCTAAACAGTACACTCGAGCGGACAACTCGAGTCGAGGAAGGGGCAGCGTACCAGGGACCCGCGAGATCGTCTGGCTTTGCAACTTATCCGAGCCTCTTTTTATTTCAGGGTATGACACTAACAGATAGGGAGTCTTAACCAGTAAGCACATCCCCGGAGGTGAGAAGAGAAGGGTGTCGGCACAATTTATATACAGTTCAGATAATATCAAAGCGGTAAAGCATTTAGCACATTTAGCATGCAACATGTAAGGAGATCAGATAAAGCCAACACAACAATTATTCTAAGATCGAATTCTTAAACCCTGAACCGAAGTTCTGGGTAAATATCCCCAGCAGAGTCGCCAGAGCTGTCATACCTCCTTTTTACCTACACCCCTGGAAGGGTGTATAATGGAGTTTTTTCCAATTAAAGGACAATTAGAACGAGATTTATTATTATTATTCAGAGTCGCCACTTAGGAGATTAATGGTGTCCCAAGTCACCGGTTGCATCCCGAACCGAGGAAAGATATGACTCTATTAACAGTCCGCGAACCAGAAATCCGGATAAGGAATTCTGTTAACCCGGGAGAAGGTGTTAGGCATTCCCAGGTTCTGTGGTTCGAGCACAGTCGCTCAACTGTTGTATTTGATTTTATCTGATTTCAAAACATGTTCTTGCTTATGGGTTTTTTAATTTCGAACCGCTTTTATTATTATTATGAGAATTGCAACGTCGTGAAAATGTGTCTCGAACCACATCACAATCAATGCACCCGTGGTATTTGACACATTTCGACTCCGTTGAGGTTTGGATTTGGGTCGCAACAATGCGCACCCGAGTTTTAAGAAGGTAATTTACTAAAAACGCTCCTAAAGTGTCTAACGCGTTATTACCTTTAGGGAAAGCCGTGAAATTCGCTAAACGGCCCATTCCGAATTCTAAGAAATTAGGACAATATTTATCGAGGGCCCCGCAATTTGTAGTTTTATTTGGCGAGGCTCGTTTCACTTATTATTTAAAAGGCCGACCTAAAAGAGACTACGATTTTTATTCACTTTGTCTCTAATAATAAAGAAGAACCCATGATTATTTAGCAAGATACGCGAAATAGATTCAGGCCAATTTATAACACTAATGGGCATTTGTACAAGCCCAAGCGTAATCAAGGAGCCTAAAGCAAACTACGATGTTCACAATCTATTCGACTTTTACACCCAAATTTGATTCTCACGTTGGACAAGGTCGAAGCCCAGTGCTCATTAGTTCCAATTCCATTAAAGAAATATCTGGCAACATCGCATGACCTTAAATCTTACATATCAGTATTGCAACAATTCATAAAGCAAAAATACAAACAAATTGAGGAAAGCACAATATGAACTCATTTAAAATCCAGCTACTTACGATGCAAAAGAACAACTTAACCCACAGACATCTACCATACACAACTGACGTAGATTAAACTCTATCATGCCATCAATATAACACACCAGCAATAATACATCCAGTCAATCAACTAAA